CGTCTTAGTCCTCATGATGACAACGCATCTGCATCTTGATTTGTAATTGAGGATAGATGTAGATGTCTATAGGCCGCAGCAACCACTTACCATAAGGTGCACAGTGTGCTAGTTTGTAACCCAATCCTATATACAAAAAAACTGTCATCATCAGCCTGCGGCAGTCTACTGCTGGACATAGGCCCCTCCCAAGGCGCGCCACTTAGCCCGATCTTCGGCTTCACGCATACAGTTTCTACCAGCCACTTTGCAGATCATCGCTCCATCTGGTCGGGGGCGTCCCCCACACTACGTTTGCCTAGACGTGGTCTCCACTCCATAACACGTCTACTCCACCGTTTATCACTTCTGCGACAGACATGACCAGCCCATTGCCACTTCAGTTTACAAACACGGAAGGCTATGTCAGTAATCTTGGTTCTCATAAGTGAGTACGGGCAGAACGCACTGGTTCAACTCTTTTATCTTCAGACTTTGCGGTATGGGCGACGAGAAAACCCGACCTTTCTAAATGCTATTATTAACTACTTAACTGAATCCTTCGATCGACTTCCTTCTCGAAGTTATTCTTACCTAGTTGCAATATATGCCCCAGGTAAGTATATTCTTGGACAACTACGAGAATTTCGCCATCAACAGTAATTGGAACTGACATGACGTGATCGTTGAACATAACTTTTGTCTTGTTCAGAATCTTGTACAGATCAACACGTCGAGAGGATTCATTCAGTCTGTTCGGCGTGTCCTGAAGTTCGTGCAGCGATTCTGCCATGACGAAGAAAGAAATCATCAGCAAAGCGTAAGTGTGAGATGAACTCACCGTTTACGTTAATGCCGTGACCTTTCCAGTCTAGCATCTTTATCATCTCATCACCTTTACAGCCTATAAAAGTCCCTAGTTGAACATAGGCCTCCCCCATAGATTGCCTCATAGGGGGGATGTTTGCCATAGTGGCCACACTTGGATAGCGGATTGGCAACCGTTTTTGTTTCTCCCCGTCGTCTCGTAACTCTCACTCCCTCACCCTCGGGACGATATGGGGTAGTAGATATTCTTACGCCACTCCTAGTGTAGTAAGTATTTTATTCATGTACTTTCATTACTTTAGATCCCATTTGCAAATTACAAATGTAATGTCTGATGCAAATAAAAATCATTTATCAAGTATTCGAAACTGAAAAAGCAAAATAAAAGTTAGTTCACTGACACTGGTTTCGAGACAATGACCGCTTTGGTATTCTGCCAAAGGTAAATTCTGAAACAATTTTTCGTAATAAATTCCACATACAATCGAGACGCTCAATTAGACCCCTTCCATTAAATTCAAAATACATTATAACTTATACACGTAATTACTACGTAAATACCATTGTTATTTATTAATTGTAAATGATAAAATCATACAAATACTTTGTGTTATTATAAAATTAAAATACTGAAATATTCTAACTGGCAACATTATTCTGATTTCTGACTACAATATAAAATAACAGCAACGAGGTGATAATGCCTTAGGCATAAGTCCGCCTATATACCACGTGTGTACATGAAGTTTTAAATAAATAAATAAAATGTTGGAATCAAATATTTTACCATATACCAAATATTATATACCATACGTTATTACAATAAACATATACATTATTCAATATTTGGAATTCTCTTCTTTCTATATTTGGAATTTGACAAAGATCATAGTATGTTTTAAAGGTTTTAACATTGTTTGTATTATAATGTTTGTCAATAAAAGTCTTTTGCAGTCGTATTTTTGTTTTATATAATAAGGGTGACAAACGATCACACAATCGACCTGATGGTAAGTGCATGCTGTAGCCCAAAGACATCTACATTTATCCTCAAGTAAGAATCAAAATGCAGATGCGTTGTCACCCGTGAGGACTATTACATCTCAGTCCTCATGGGTATGAGGTCTAAGATGAAATGCCTTGTTTCGTAACCTTCTCTACACTCATTATATTAAATACAGTGGCATTAAGCTGCTAATATACGCTGGTATTCCGTGAGAGCATGGTCCTACCCCGGTCGAGCCAACCCATTCGTACTACAACTATAACACAACTGCAGCGTGGATCTGCCAATTAAAAAAACGTAAATATAATAATAGTGGTCTTTTGCACAAACTAGTTCTCGTTTGAATTCGAACTCGGAACTACTGGTCTCGTGCATTGTTTATGAAGTAAAGCGAACATCTCACGTCTTTCACCTAGCTACCGATGTATAACTTGTAGTCTTTTAGGTACCGTCAATTTCGAGTGCTAGACCGCACTGTAATCACAAATAAAATGTTGATTAGTCCCCTATAGATAAGTTTATGCTCACAAACCGACGCCGCACGTTATCGGGTCTCATTTAAAAGGCTTTGCTTATCAATAAGTCATTTTGTTTAAAACGAGTGTAACTATAAAAAATAATATCTATCGTTGCATTAAGTTAAAATATATTTGAGGAAATATGATAGAGAGAGAATTCATAGCCCCATTCCGACACTGTCCGTTCCATTCGTTCAATGAACGGAATGAAAGGACGGTGTCGTAAGACTAGGGAATTCAGAGATCCTCACAGAGATAACATAGCATCTGATACATGTGAGTATAACCATCTCATCTATACCAGGCACAGAATACACGCGGCGACTGTGATCAACACCAAAGGTGCGAAACGTCTGATCATCAACTCGTCCGCCATCTTGACGTTAAAGACTAGTCTTCTCTACAACGGGAGAAGCGATGTCCAGAATTGTACTCGGGTTGATTAAGATCTAGAGTTGGTGGCAATTAGTAAAATATGTCGGGTTTATTGAGGCAAGAAAACAGACGTGTGGTGGTGGTGTTAAATAACACGTCACTCCCATTTCTTCCCGTAGGTATCGTAAAAGATCACTTTGAAAAATATTAAAAAGATCTTATGATACTCGATATAGTTTTTAATTTAAATGTCTGTTTCGATTGCCTTTAATTAATATATATATATATATATATATATATATATATATATATATATATATATATATATATATATATATATATATATATATACAGAATGGGTCCCACATATATGCAATAAATGAAACCATATACTTGTTATCGCCTTTGTTGAAGATATACAAAAAATGAACGAAATCGGTCCAGTAATTAGGTCAAAAAGTAGAGTTTTAATTTTAAGCAAATTCGAACACTCTATGGAATTGGGTCACTAAGTCAATGATTCAATGAACTTGAATCCTTGAACATTAAAAAGCGACGTTGCCACGCAGTGCAAACTATTGGTATTGCGACATATCGACAGCGGTGTCTTTTGTCGGCGTGCCACCCGCGTGCAACGTTGTCACTCTTCCAAGGGGTCACCCTTGGAAGAGTGACAACGTTGCAGTATAGTAGTAAATAGTAGTAATTCTTTATCGTACCAAATTGTAGTAAGTGTAATGAAATTCCTTCCTGGGCTTTTGTGCCTTTTACTTAGGTTTGAGTTATAAAAATAGACTTAATAATAAGTTACTTTTAGATTAATTAACAACAGAATATTGCAATAAATATTGAGAATACAGAAATTTACAAAAACTAGTAAAAAGCTGAGCACGCGCCGCTTAGCGTCTTGCTTTGAGTAGACTATTAAAGGCCTTCTACACGGTCGGGAACAACCACCAACCGTCGTGACCTTGGTCGAGTTGATGTAAAAATGGACAGAGACATCGGTTGTCTGACCAATATTTTGGTTGATGTCCGACCGAGCGCATCGCTCACGACACGTCGGGTCCGTGGTTGATGCCGACCGTGTGGAAAGCTGTCGGCCGACGAGAGCGCCTCAGTGCGCGCTTAGCAGTCGTCGCAGGCGAATGTTTGACGGCACTATGGATACGAACGGAAGCAAAGAACGTGAGGTCCTGACCGAATTCTTGTCACTGTACTGTGATTTACCATGTCATGTTTTTTTATAGGATAGGATGACAAACGAGCACACAGTCCACCTGATGGTAAGTAGTTACTGCGGCCCATAGACATCTACATCTATCCTCGATTACGAATCAAAATGCAGATGCGTTGTCACCCGTGAGGACTAAGATGGAATGCCTCGTTTGCAGTAAAAAGGGTCTTCGGTCTCTACACTTACCATACGAAACACAGCAGCGTTAAGCTACTATTTCACGCTGGTATTCTGTGAGAGCGTGGTCCTTCCCCGGTCGAGCCGGCCCATTCGTGCTACAACTATATAATATAACTGCAGTATGGCTCTACCACGTTTCATCCATTTTCTTTTTTTATCTTTTTTTTAATCTTCACTCAAGCATAGAAACGGTAAAGCTAAACCGACTTTTTGTTGTTTAGAAAAGAAAGGAGCCATTTCTAAAAGTAACTACCTTAAGTCTTTACTCTTTAAATACCAGTGACAAAACTGACAAGTTGAGTCAACCACCCGACCGTGTAGAATGAATACAAAAATCGGTTGATCCGACCAAGGTCACAACGGTTGGTGGTTGGTCCCGACCGTGTAGAAGCGCTTTATTTATTCTGTGACGTAGATAATATTATGTCGGCACGTGTCGGTAAGTTCAGAAGCAAATAACATTTTTAGTTATCTTATTAGAAAAAACCCCATTTAAAGCAACCAAAAAAAATTTCATTATCATAATTACCATGCCTATGTGTACACCAACATACAATAACAATAGAAATTAGATTCTAATTTATTGTGTAAAAACACTACTTTTATATGATGTATAAATATATTTTTTTCTCTATATATATACGCATACGCACATGTTTTTTTAAATCGATCAATTACTTTTCTAAAAATCCAGTATCAACTTCAAATGGCCCCGTGTGGATTTCGTGTGTGTGGGTGCCGCAGCCGCAGGTTGCCGATCCCTGACCTAGACTATATAGGAGAAAATTATCTCTAGAAATCAACCGATAATTTCGGTTACTTTTGAAAAAATCGGTTGAGACATGATAAATAAATAAATAAACAGTAAATACGTTACCTAATATGTGCACTAGCAATTATTCTATCTCCGGCCAACTGCCACACGTGGAACTCGTGCACGGCGAGCACTCCGTCGACTTTCTCTAACAGACGCCTCTGTATCGCATCCACCTGGGCAAACATTTCACATACGCTTATCAATCATTTGAAATCAAACAAATACAAACAACACGCATTTTAAACACGTGGCATATCCCAATCAAACACTAGATGGATAAAGTTGCTAAGTCAGCAGCCCTACTTGATCCACGAGTAACTTTTTATTATAGACTTATACTAGGTGTCTCAAAAGTAAGTTCACATTTGCTTATCTTATTACGCGAAAGCAACTATTCTGAGGGGCGCGGGGGGTATGTCAGTCGGTAGTCTGGCTCTTGGGAATTTAGTCGCTATGGAGCGTTTCTCTGGTGCGGACCGTGCGTTGTGCGTACGTGAGTTTTACAAAAACGGTAATTCGGCGACTGTAGCGCGTAGAAAATTCTGCAGTATTCGACATATTCGTCACTTAAATGATGCGCCTAGCACTCGTCTCATTGCAAAATGGGTTGAGAAGTTTGAAGAGACTGGGTCAACTCTGGAGAAACCAAAATCTGGGCGACCAAGAACATCAAGAACAGCCGAAAACGTGGACAGTGTTACTCAGTCTATTCGAGATGATCCAAACCTCTCGATTCGGAAGCGTGCTGTTGCTTTAAATGTGCACAGATCTTCATTATGCCGCATTTTACACAAAGATTTAAAGCTGCACCCGTACAAAATTCAGTTAGTGCAAGAACTGAAGCCTCAAGATGCTGGTCAGAGGCTTGCCTTTGTAAATCAGATGATTGAGCGCTTTCCAACGTTCACCAACATCTTGTTTTCCGATGAAGCCCATTTTCACCTGAATGGGCATGTAAACAAGCAAAATTGTCGTTACTGGAGTGCAACCAACCCAAAACAAAAACATCAGAAACCGCTACATTCACCCAAAGTCACCGTATGGGCAGCGATGTCGGCGCGAGGAATTATCGGCCCTTACTTTTTTGAAGATGGAAGGGGACGCACACTCACAGTGAATTCAGAGCGTTATGTGGAGATGTTAGACGAGTTTTTCGTACCCCAACTGCAAAACTTTCCTGGTTACAACCAAAGAACATGGTTCCAGCAGGATGGAGCAACTTCACACACGTCCAACAGATCTCTGCCTCGAGTTCGAGAAATTTTTCCGAACAAATTAATCTCCTGGCGAGGTGACATAAATTGGCCTCCACGGAGTCCCGATTTAACGCCTATGGATTTTTTCCTGTGGGGTTATGTCAAATCAAAAGTTTACGCTAATAAACCGACTTCCCTGGCACAATTAAAAGAAAATATCCGTCATGAAATGGCAGCCATCACGGAGACTACCTGCCGAGCTGTCATAGGCAATTTTAGTGCCCGACTAAATGAATGCCGAGAGCGCAACGGTTTACATTTGGACAATGTTATTTTTAAAAAATAAATTCCCAAACAGTGTACTTCAATATAAAATAAACATTTTTTCAATAAAGCTAAGACTTTTCTTTTAAAAAAAGATTTAAATGTGAACTTTCTTTTGAGACACCTTGTATAATAACCCTTCAAGCGCCATAAAAATACCATGCAGTCGCATGCGCCCGGCAAATCCCGAGCGGTCCGCCCGCGCCCACCCACAGTCCTTAAAACCATTAAAACTTATATTTAGAGACTATTTTTCTATGAAGAAGTTTAGCATTATAAAATCTATACAAAATTCTCTATCTTGTGGTCTAAACAAAAGTCAGGTTTTACTTCATTACAAAAAGATTTTATTGTATTTTGATAACAAAAAAAAAACATACCAAGCGAATGTGAGCAGCGTGAAAATCACAATTATTTCAATACGTATTACTCGAAATAATTTACGTAAAAAGAAAAATTATATTCACACAAAAAATATACATAGGATAACAGTTTTTTTACACTGCACTAGAGGATAGAGTATTTCATATTGATTATACAATGCCATGAAGCTGTAAATTTTCATACAAAAAGCGTAAACGTGCCCCCCCCCCCCCCCCCACCGTAAACATAGTTTAATTTTTATAATTTTTGGATATGTTGTAGATATAATAAAAAATTAGGTAATACGTTTTCATTTTAAAGAAATATTGCGTACGACATAAGTTATTAGCATCTTTTTTAAATCAAATTAAACTGAATTGCTAAAAAAGAAAAACGTACAGGCCTAGATTATGGTGTAATGAATCTAATGAGATCAAAAATGTCTCATTTCGGTTTAGGGGGGTGAAAAAGTTATCGCCTGAATCGATATTTTAACAAGTGGTAGAATTAAAAATTTTGTACATTCGACTTCGATATAATTAAAATGAGAACATCATCGATGTATCCGAAGTCAATGAGGATCCACATGCAAAGCTAATCGTAGAGGGCACCAGCGGCGCCATGACTGCTGTCAAATTGTTGTAGATTACATAAAGAGATTTTGCTTTTCTTTGTATTGAAACTGGTTAACCATCGATAATTTTAAGATGTATTGTACCTGGAAGCTTAAAGAATTGAAGGACGAACTAAAAAAAACGAGGAGCGAAGATAACTGGAAAGAAAGCAGATCTTGTTGAGAGGTAGGCTTGTATCTACTAAAATATTATAAAACTGTAAACTTATACACAAGTTAAAGATTTGGAGCTAGTTTCGATTGGAACGTGTTAATTATTTCTTGATTAATGTTAGGAAAATTTAAGAATAATCAAAGAACATTACTCTAATGATAAATGGTATTTTTTGCTCTTAGGTTAGAATCATATGACCGAAATTTTAATTTCGGCAATCAAAGCCCTCTAGCTTCTCAAAGTCAAGCAATTGATGTTCCTGCTGTTGAACTTTACTAGGACGTATAGCTCCACGATATTGCCAAAGATTACCAAAAAACATATTCAAAGTTATTTTGATAGGTAGGTAATAATTGTTTCTAACGTTTTATGTAAATATTAAAGATTATTTGTCCACTAAGTTTATTAAATTGTGGTTATATAATTTCTCTTGATATTTAACATAATACTTTTATTTCAGATTCAATAAAAATATCAATGACGCTGTAAAGTTGTATGAATCGAGATACCTTCTTATTTTACGATCAACAACATTTGCCCAAGAAACATACTTGAAAGGTAGGTTCACCAGATAATAAAGGTTGATGTATCAAAAATAAATAGATGGCTATTAATGTGTAAAATATTTGTCTTTTAAATATGAACATATAAATACTTGATTAAAACTACTTTTACGGATTTTTTTCGCGTTTATTTTTACTTTTTATTTACTTTATTTTTTAATTCCCGACGTTTCGGGCGCTTTCCAGCACCCATGGTCACGGGGGACCCCCGTGACCATGGGTGCTGAAAAATAAACTCGATAAAATCCGTAAAAGTAGTTTTAATCATGTATAGTGTTCGCGTAAATATAAGAAATCATTATATAAATACTTTTTCCAGATTTTTGCAAGGCATCTATGAAACAACTACAATATGAGGTAAACATCAAATTAAATAATGATGGAATGCCTGAAGAAGCAACATGTGAATGTGCAGCAGGAAAAGGCAAAGAAGCCCGTTGTAAACATGTAGCTGTGGTACTTCATGCTGCTGAAAATATTCTTAAGGAAAAAATAATAATGCTACATGAAGTTTCGACGTCACAACTTCAAACGTTTCATAAGCCAACAAAAAATATTATACCACACCATTGCGAGCCTCCAGATTGCCATCCAAAAGGGATATACATAACACTGTTTACTCTCCATATTTAAAACAAAACCCTTATTTTGATAAAAAGGCATTCCAATGCAGGTTTCAGTCCCTGATTTTAAATTATCCACACTCATCGATGCACTTAAAAAATTATTTCCAGCAGCTAACCATCGAGCAATGTGTTTAGATCATAAATATATGGAAAAAAAGTGCACAGGATATTTGTTTAGAATCCATTCATTTACTAAATTTAACTGAAGAAAGATTAGTGGAAATCGAAATGGAGACTAGAGGACAAAGTTCCAATCCAAAGTGGCATGAGTATCGACAAACCCGCATTACATCAAGTATATTTCACACTGTGTGCCATTTGAAAAGTGAAACTTTAGTAAAATATTGAAACCAAATATTAAATAAAAATCTAGTACAAACAAGAGCGATGGCACATGGGATGATTAATGAAAACGTAGCCATTAAAAATATATGGAGATTTATGGTTTTATAGGGTGGTAGTTGGAGTGTGGATTGTTTTTGTCTCAGGAACGACCTTATCTAGGAGCATCTCCAGATGGCTTACTAGGATCAGAAACAATAATTGAATTAAAATATCCTTATGCTTCCAGAAACCAAGAAATAAAGTACCTTACCTACAATTTGATGACAATGGACAACTTACTTTAAAAAAAAACTAATATTTATTTACTAGTCAACCGGCTTCCAGCTATATCAGCGATTATATTGTTTCTGATATATCAGTATATACAATTTTTATGTTAGTATAGTTGCCGACGCGAAAGGTGAGCAAAGATGAACTATGGTGGGGGTTGAGCCAGCGTAGGTACACTCTCGGCCAAAATTATTAGGTACTGTGGTTTTTTCAATTCGTAATTGAATATTTTCGCTGCCTTTTTTTCGAAATTCTGAGTCGTTAACTCCTTTAACTATACGCCGTACAGTAGCTACGTAGACATTAGTCGCCTCAGCAGTCTGTTTATAAACATCTATCATATTTTCCGCAACACCTAATTATTTCATTTAACAAAACATTGAAAAGACCATTTGTCGCGATTGTCTATTTAACACCGAATTCTTTCTTCTCTGAAAATCCTAATGCTCAAATCATAACAAAAAAAATAATTACCAACAAGAAATATCAAGAACAGTTAAAACAAGAAATACACAAACAACAATGTAATACTACAATTAACAAAAATAAACTGATTAAAAAGTTATCACTAAAATTGCTCTAGAGTGTACGGTAGTCGAATGATACGTGCGAACCCAATAGACTATGAGAATCGGCTGACGAACCAATCACGTTGAGCGTTAGCGTGATCAACGTCATATTGACCAATAAAAAGTGTG